GGGGGCGGCCGCCGCATCCCCCGCCGCCCAAGGTGCGGCCCGGGCCGGGGGGCGAGCGCCCGCCCCGCTGGGAGGGAGCGAGAGGCGGGGCAGCACGAACGCCACCGCTGATTGGTAGATCTTATGATGACCCCGCCCCCGCCGACCCCCGAAGGCCCGCCTACATTTAAAGATCCCACGCTCTTGGGCGCCTGCTCAGGGCCTTCCCCCCTCGCGTCGCGTGCTTGGTCTCCCAAGCTGTCTACGTCCGCGTGACCGGGATGGGGGTGACCCCAGTAAAGCCACAGCCAGCCCTGGGAACCCCTCACTACCCTTCCTTTCCCCACACACTGAATCTTCTAACTTCAGCTGCCCCTTACCCCTGCGTGCCTGGGGGCTAGGCGCCCCACAAGGACAACTTGACCAAGTGACCCGATGGGTCCCCACGAAGTCTGAGCTGGGGGAACAGGGTGCGGCCAGGCGGGGAATGGAGGCTTGTGGGGTGTCTACTGAGAATGGTGGAGGCCACCTTTGGAAAGAGATGCCTGCTCACATCAGGGACCCCAGTCATGTGCCCCCAAACAACTAAACCTACAATGGCAGAGGGCAGGGGCCCCAGGAACCTGGGATACAAGAGCCGAGCGGTCACTGACATGCAACCTCTTTCCCCAGGACCCAGAGAACCCACGGGCCTCAGGAGCCCACCCTTGGACGGAGCTGGGGTGCCTGCCAAGGCCTGTCCCTGCAGCAGTGCCAGGGTGACTGTGTCAGCTCTGTCCCGGGGTGGGAGCTCCCCTCCTCGGAGCTCCCCTCTCTTTCTTGACCCCCTTCTGTTTTCTTCCTGGCCCTGAGCCTCAGCCTGTGTTGTCGGGAATGAGTGCTGCCTTGCTTTGTTCACTGGGCTGCGCTCAGAAACAGCAGGAATGAATGAATGAATGAGCGGGTGAATGAGAGGGCTAATGACTTCAGAGGGCAGGTGACACCCAGGGCCCACGGTCACACAGGGGACCCGTTCCCTCCCCACTCCCAGCCTCATTGGAACTGGTAACAGCATCAGGGAGAGGAGGCCTGGGAGCCCCTGGCCGTGCCCAGGGAGGGGTGGGACAGGACTAGGCCCTGGCGACAGTGAGAGGAGCTGTCACCACTCCCAACATCCCCCAGTTCTCCCTCATCCTATTCTTTCTTTCCCATGCCATCTTTTTTTAGTAGTACTGGGGACTGAGCTTAGTACTACTGAGCTCCATTCCCAACCCTTTTTACTGTTTATTTTGGGACAAGGTCTTGCTAAATCCCCCCCCCACTGTGACCCTCCTGCCTCAGCCTCCCAAAGTGCTGGAATTTCAAGTTTCTGTATTTAGGACAGGGTCTACAGGGTCTACAGGGTTTCACTATGCAGATCAGACTCCTAGTGATACTCCTGTTTTCAGCCTCCCAAGTGGTGGAATTACAGGTGCACGTGCCACCAAGCCCAGTCTCCATTGCTGGCTCAGCGCACACCCTGTGCCAGGCCGGCACAGTACACCAGGGAGATTCTGGCTGCTGAGCTCTACCTAAGCAGGAGCTTTAGTCCGCTGAGCTATCAGGCCAGCCCTTGAAATTGCAAGTTTTACACAGTCTTTTGCATACCAGTGAAAGAGCCATCCACCCCGGCCAACACCCTGCCCCTCATTTGGCCCTCCTTGGAGCCCCTGCCCTGGGGAAGCTTTTACAGCTGAGCTCCAGGCTGGCCTAGAAAGAGAAATTCACAAAAGTGGCCTCCACAGCCACCTGGGAACCTCCGTCCTTCCTGCCCAGGGGCTGTGGCCTGAGCCAGAGGTGGCCTGGCCACCTCTGTTCCCACCATCGAACAGAAAGCCTTGTCAACATTTCCTCTTTCATCCACACACCAAGGGCCAGAGTCTGAGCCTGTGGACCCGCCCCTCCTCCCTGCTGGTGTCCTCCAGGAGGGGGTGGCCTTCTCCAAAGGAGGGGGCTTGGTGTGTCCTGAAGGGTTGGGGCCCTGACTTCCATCCTTGCAACCCCTCTAAAACCAACAGAAAAAGAGGAAACAGGACCAGGGATGGGGGGTCTTTAGCTAGAGATGCTGCTCAGGCCTCTAGGGACAGCAAACACTAGCGGGGTGTGGTGGTGCATGCCTGTCGCCCCAGTATGCAGAAGGCTGAAACAGGAAGAGTTCAAGCTGGAGCCTTGCCTAGGCAACTTTGAACCAGGGATTGAACTCAGGCCCTTGCGCTTGCCAGGCAAGTACTTATTCTACTGAGCCATTTCCCTGGCCCCTTGCCTAGGCAACTTAGTCACTGAGACTATCTCTGGGGATGGAACCACAGCAGCCTGAGACTGTATCTCAAAATGGATTTTTTTTTTTTAAAGACTGAAGATGTAGCTCAGTGTAAAGGCCCTGGGTTCAACTTGCTGTACCACAGAATGAATGAATGAATGAATGAATGAATGAATGAATGAATGAATGAAAAATAAGTAACTTCACAAAGGGAGGAAGCAGAGTCTGGAGGACCCCAGAACACTTTAGGTGGGGCAGGATGGAAGGGCATGCAAAAAGACCAGCGAAACAGGCCAGAAACACACACAGGCCACACTGGAGACAAATAGAGGGCTGCCTGAGGCTGCATTGACCCTGAGAGGGCGTCATGGGGGCAGGGTGCCTGCAACACAGGCCAGGGGTTTGTCCTGCCCCAGATACCTGGTCCCCTCCCTCCAGGCACTCTGGCTGGGACACCTCTGGTGACACTTTCTACCTTGGGGACAACTGCTTGACTCCAGTGTCCTGCTACGTGGCTGGTTTGGACAGCGTCCCCCTAAATTTGGGGCACTCCCATAGAACTGCAGAATAGTATGTTGCCTGGAAACAGGGTCTTTGCAGATAAGTGGTCACCCCAGGTGTGGGGGTGCACACCTGTCACTCCATCACTAAGGAGGTGAAGGCAGGAGATCTGCCATGAGTTCAAGGCCAGCCTGGGCTGCATATAAGGATCCTGTCTCAAAAACAAAGCAAAACCAGGTGTGGTGGTGCATACCTTTGATCCCAGCACTCAGGAGGCTGATGCAGGAGGACTGCTGCAAGTTCCAGAGCAGCCTGGGCTACAAAGTGAGCTCAAGGCCAGCCTGAACTATATAGCAAGACCCTGTTTCAAAAAGGCAAAAAAAAAAAAAAAAAAAAAAAAAAAAAAAAAAAAAAAAAAGGGGGGGGGGACAAAAACAAAAAAACAGTGCATAGGGTAAACTCTAATCTCATGGAGGATGGGGGCTCTTTCTTGGGTTTCAATCCCAAGTCCTTTATTCTTTATTTTTCTTTAAGAAAATTTTTCGTGCATTTTAGTTATACATAATTATGCTTTCCTTTTTTAAGACCTATCCTCAGGCCGGGAAGATAGCTCAGTAGAATAAGCGTTTGCCTGGCAAGCACAAAGGTCTGAGTTCAATCCTTGGTTCAAAAAAAAGACACGTTCTCCCTGAATTTCCCAGGCTGGGCTTGAACTTAGAATCCTCCCACCTCAGCCCCTGTAGTAGTTGGTTCTACGTGTGTGTCCACTGTGTCTGGCTAGGGTGTCCATAAGGAAAGCCATGTGACAATACGGAGACATGGGGAGAAGGCACAGTGACAATCAGCCAGGAGCGGAGGAGGCCGAGGAACACCTGGAGGCCTGGAGGCTGAGAGGGAGGATCATGGGGGCTTCCAAGGGCAATGGCTTTTGGGCTTCCGGCCTCCAGGACACCAGGAGGATAAACTTCTGTCTCTCCAGCCACCTGTTTGAAGTCACTTGTTTGTTTGTTTTTCTCTCTGGTTTTGTGTTTGCTTGTGTTTGTTTTCCAGGCAGGCTCTCGCTATGTAGCCCAGGCTGGCCTCCAGCTTGCTGTGGTCCTCCTGCCTCAGCCTCTAAGTGCCGGATTCCAGGCGTGCACACCAACCCAGCTTGTAGCTCCAGTGCTGAGTGCCAAGAGACTCCTGGTGGCCCCGCAGCATGCAGACAAGGAGACCCTGCAAGGCTGTGGCTTGGACCACAGAGCCCTTCTCCAGGCTCCGCCCGTGGAGGTCCCAACCCCTCCTCCCAGTCCCTGCCACATTTTGTGCCTGTGCGGCTCCCACCTGAGGACAGATCCCGGACTCTCTGTCTCTCATCCTGGCCGACGCAATGGACGCCGCCCGTGACACTGCCTGTGACACTGCAGCCTCTGACAGTGCCACTCTTGCCCTCATGGTCCCTGTCCTCTGCAGCAACCCCTGGGACTCTGACATCATCTTTTATTTATTTATTTTTTTTGGCAGAACTGGAGATTGAACTCAGGCCCTTTCGCTTGCCAGGCAAGCGCTTATTCTAGTGAGCCATCTCCCAGCCTTCTGCGGCTCCTGCTGGCCACCACCCGGCCGAGGTCCCTCCCTGCCACCCTGTCTGCTCCTCGGTACCCCCTCTCTTCTCAGGGTTCACTCTGTTGCAGCCACACCCACACCCTCAGCAGCCTTAAATATGCCAAACGCAGCTGGGTTTGGAAGCACTGGCCTGTGATCCTAGCACTCTGGGAGGCTGAGGCAGAAAGATTCCAAGTTAAAGCCCAGCCTGAGAAACTTAGTGACTTGGCAGAAATGCTTATCTCAAAATTTAAAAAAAGAAAGAAAGAAAGAAAGAAGGAAGAAAGGAGGGAAGGAAGAAGGGAAGGAAAAGTGAGCCAGGGATGTGGGACTGTAGCTGAGTGCAAAGGCCCTGGACCCAACCCCTAGTGCCACACACAGGGAGCCAAGCCCGTTCTGACCTCCGACCCTTGCACACGCTGCTCCCGCATCTCCAGCCCAGGCAGCTCCCCTTCAGATCGCGGCTTGTGGTCACCTTCCTAGAGAGGCCTCTCAAACCACCTGCAGACTGTCCTCTCCTGCTTACTCTTCTTTCTTTTCTTTTCCTTTTGGTAGTGGAGACGCAGCCCAGGGCCTCACCATGCTAGCAACACCTTCTACACCGACCTCTCCCGACTTTAAATTCTGAAACAGGGCCTTGCTAAGGTGCCCAGGCAGAGTTGCCTGGAATTTGGGAGTCTCCTGCCTCAGTCTCCAAAGTGGCTGGGATTATAGGTGTGTGCCCCTGTGTGTGGCCTCCGCTGGCCGTTCTCTAACATACGTCTGTATTATATTTTCCTCACTTTCTTAACTGATGTCCCAAGAAACCCCACAGGGCTGTCCTGGACCTGGCTCAGTCTTGCCATGTTCCCAGTGCTCAGCCCAGGGACTGACACACTGTAACTAACTCCTCGGTGTTTGTTGATTGGCCAAATGACCACCACACCCCCCTGAGCAGCTCCCTGCTTATTCCAGAGGTCAGTCAGCAATCACAGGGGACAGGTGTAGAAGGACTGTATGTGGATCCTGCAGAGCTGATTTAACTCTGTCCTTCTGGCTGTGCGACACTGGCCAGGTCACACAGCTTCTCTGGGTGTCCTGTGACAGAAGTAGGGGGGACCTTCGGGGCTCCTGAAATCCCTCGCTGCTGTTTGGCCACTGATACTGTTTCCTGGTGCTTGTTCCCCACCACCAGTGGCCCAAGTGCGTGCATCACTCACCCTGGAGTGTAGGGTTTTCCTCACTGTGCTGCTGCCCCAGGCCTGTCCCCTTCTGTCCCACTGGATCTTCCTCAGGAGACCTGTGTGCAGCAGACGCAGAAATGAGGCAGGGGGCCGGGCCCTGGGAGTGGGGAGACTCAGTGCACCGACCCCTTGTAATGACAGGGGTCACCTTGGAGCATCAGGAACTTAGAGTCCGTGACCCTGCACGCCCCAGGCCGACCCAGGGTGAGCAGTCGTCCTGATCCCCGTTGGATGCCTGCTGTGTCCTCACACATCCGCTCCCATGCCTATGTTGGGAAAGGCAGGTGGGGGTGGGGGGCAGAACAGCGGTGAACTTAAGCACCAGGCCGGGACCTGTCTGGGACCCAGCTGAGACCCGACTGGGCTGGAGCTAGCTCTGAGGTTGGCCTGGTGGCCCCTTCCTCCTAACCCCTGGCCTCCAGGATCGCTTCTGCCTAGAGCTCCACGCTACCCCTGGGGTTGAGGGACAAGACACCAAGGGGCCAGGGAGCCGACAAGGAAAGGGGAGGTCTCAGAGCTCGGGATGGAGACAGAGGGCGCCCCAGGTCTCACACCCCACACTGAGCTCCAGAGCCAGGCAGCAGACAACCCGCTGGGGACCCTGGCAGCCGGGCCCTGAGGCTGGAGACTACCCCGCACCTGCCCCTGTGTCCAAGCTCCACCGCTACTGGGTGACCTTGGGCGGGCGCCACCCTCTGGGGCCTCAGCCGCCGCCCCCACTCCAGTGGGAGTGGGAAACCGGGTGGATGGTGCACAGTGGCCGGCGGGTCGGGGATCCTCCCTCTGCGGAGAGGGGCAGCCCAGGGAATCCCCGGCACGCGGAAGAGACAGGGAGGGCGAGCGGGCAGTGGGGGCCCAGCCCCCTACAAAAGGGAGTCCCCAGGTCCCCGCCCTCCTCCCTCTGCGTCCCCAGCCTGGCGCGGGAGCCTCCCCCTCCTATGACCTAGGGGTGGGGTCCACGTTAGGGGGGGACACAAGGAACCCCCGTGCCCCCGCCCACGAAGAATAGGGGGTCAGACTGGGACCCCCGCCTCGCCTTCGCTGCTGTCCACTCACCCGGAGCGCCTGCCGCGGAGCCCGCGCCTCGGAGCACACAGCCAAGCGCACAGGCGGGAGGCGGTTACCGCGCAGGGAGAGGAGGGGAGGAGGAGGGCGAGGAAGAGAGGGGAGCGGAGGGGAGGGGATCCCCTCTATCCCGCCCCAGCCCTCCTAGGGCCATGACAGCGAATCCGAGAGGCTCCCCAGGCTGGGAGGGCCTCTGCGGCTGCCGACGCAGGCGCGCAGTTTACAACTGGGGAAACTAAGGCCAGGAGAGCGGAGCCCCGGCATTGCCCGGCGCCCGGGCCTCACGGAGCACGCTGTCCCCTGGCTCCGGGCTGATCCGGTGTGCCAGGAGGAGACGGAGCCGGGAGGGGAGAGGCAGGAAATCAGAATCCCCCCGCATCGTGTTCATGCCAGCCCGGTCCATCCCTGCGCGCTCTGGGGCCTGCTAGGAGACTTGGGCGCCCGGGGGCTCAGGGCCGCTGGTGATCTCGCCGGGTTGGGGGGTCCCCGCGAGGAAGGAGGAGTCTGGCGACCAGGAAACAAAGCCCAGAAACTTCTCTGTCCACGCTGGGCCGGGGACGCCCCCTGCCCCTGCGCAATCGGGGACTCCTCCGAGCGCGTTGGAGGTGTGGTACGACCCCGCTGAAGGTCACTGTGCCGAAGGACAGCAGTGAGGCCCCTGGGGTCTGGTCATCAGGGCTTGGCGGGGGGGCGCTGGAATCTGGGAGGCGACCTTGGCTGAGCCGGACCCACGAAAGTCAGCAGCCACTCTTGGGCCCAGCCGCTCTACGGGTCCCTTTGCAGCCCCCTCCCTCGCCTGAATGCCCACCCACCTTCTGCGGCGACGGCTTAGGCTACAGGGGTTTCCTCCTGGCAGCCGGGAGGCTCCGCGCGCCTCCATTCTTTTTTTCTTGTCTTAAAAAAATTTTTTTTCCTCTTTTCTTCCAAATATTCTAAAAATAACCTCCCCTTCCTGGGCCCCTAGCCCGGAGCCTCGGTGGAACGCTCCGCGGTTCCCGGGCAGGGGGCGGGGAACGACGGGGATTTCACGCGCCCGTCGGCCGGGGACCCCTCCCATCGTGTGAGCACGCGCTCGAGCGCCACCCGCCTGGCTAGCGGGCAGGGACGGGGAACAAAGAAGGCTCCAGGGGCAGAGATTAGGAGGACGGGGGCACCACCCAGCATCCGGAGCCGACATCAGACGCAAGAAAAAATCAGAAGGACCCGGTGGCAAGGGCTCTGCTGCCCTTGCGCACCCTGCGGACTCCCAAATCGCCCCTGTACAGCCTCTGATCTCTCCCCGGTCCCAAAACTAGTCCTGTCTGCGCTGTTCGTCTCTGTGGCGCATAACAGATTTCTGTCTCTGTGACAGGTCACATCCTTGCCCCGCAAGCCGACTCCGTCTCCCTCCTTCCCACACCATAGGGCGCACCTTGGCTTTTCTCAGGCCCCACAATCCTTGCCCCCTCTACCCCATGTGCCAGGCCCTGCGCCCGCTCCAGAACCACCCGGCCACGCCTAGCCTCGGATCCAGGGGCCTGAATTTCTGCATCTTCTCACCCTGATCCCCTCTCGCCCCGTCCAAGGACGCCTCGCTGGGTTAGGCGCCCCAGCCTTGGACGCGTCGCCCAGGTTTTTGTTCTTGCTGCTCGCAGGCCTGGGGCGATCTGATCAACGCTTTCTTCACCTTTCTCCTGCCCAGGGAACGAGGGACTCAGGGTCAGGGTGCTAATGGGAGCAGGGGCGGCTTCTGACTCCACACCACCCAGGGGCGGTCCGGAATCCGGAGGACGGCCCTGAGGACGTGGCGGGAATCCAATTCGAGCCAGGTCCCCAAGTTTCCTACCGAGGTCGCTAAGCCCGTGTAGTGTCAGCCTCTGGGAAAACGGTCCACCTGGCCGCTGAGCCAGGCTGGAGGGGACAACTTCGGCGGGAAGCTGGAAGAAAAGCAGTGTTCAGGGCAGCGCTGGGGCCGGCTCGGGTCCGGGTCCCTTGGGGGCTGCCCTTTAGCCCTTTCATTAGCTTCCTTGGTGTTTTATTATCTTCTACTACCCCAGGAAAGGATGAAAGAGAAATTGCTTTGTTGAGAGAGACAAAGGCTGGGTGGATGCCCCAAGGGACGGGGACACAGCTGTCAGCGCTGGTAAATCAACCGGTCCCTCCCGCTCTCTTCTGCGAGCAGAGCCCAACCGAAGCAGGGTGCTCGGGGCTTAGGGGTGCAGGGCCGGCAGGTCTCGGGATGCGGATGTCCGTGTGTGTTTCCCGCCGGCCAGGTTGCGGCTCGGGCTGAGTTCAGGACTCCGGCGACAGGAGACGTGGGGCACGGAATCGCTTAACTAAAAATCAAGTTCAAAAGGGCGCCCAGTCATTTCTTTTGAGTCTATTTCTGCAAACCTGAAGGAGGGACCCAGGCCCCTGGCTCTCTGGCCCGGAAAGGCGAGCTGCTGGGAGGGGATGGAGAAGCGGCGGCCGGCGCACAGCCCGGGGTCCCCTCCCAGGTCTCTTTGTCCCTCTCCCCTTCGAGGTCGCTCCCCTCCCCCCAACCCCCTCCTTTTTGCTGTCTCTCCCTTTGTTCTCTCCCCACCCCCACCGCGTTCAGCCTCCCCGCCACTAGCAGCCTCATCCCCACTCCTCGCCGCGTGGTCCCTTCCTCCGCCTGCCTCGGGGTCCCTAGGGCGCAGGAGGGGAACCCCGGCCCGCGCTCGCAGCCCCGCGCACGCGTAGAGCTGCCTGGCTTCCCCGAAGCCGCCCCCGCCCCCGCCCCCGCCCCCGCAAAGCAGCCCGCGCGCCCGGTTGTCAAGGCGACGGAGGGTGCCGGAGCGGGAACCTGGGAAAGACCCTGCTTGTGCGCCCTCCTCCGCCACCTCCTTGGTGAACCCCACTCCGGTTTAAGCCGGTTTCCCCGCCCCACCCCCCACTGCGCAGTACGGCGGGAAAGGATTCCCCGGCCCCTAGGGCGGAGGGGGAGAAGGGTGGGGGCCCACGCATGCGCCGCGCACCCGACCTCCCTTCCCCACGGCTGCAGCGCGCGAAGGGAAAGCCCTGGCGCGTGAAGCGGGCAATCCCAACGCAGGCGCAGTGCGCGACTGGAGGCCCCTCGGCCCCGCCCGGTCGTCCTGGCAACGCGCGCGCGGAGGGCTCCGCACGCAAGGAACTCCCCTCTCACGCCCCCTCCCGAATCGGGGATTCCCTGCTGCTGGCGCGCATGCGCAGACTCGGGATTGTGCGGGACATAGCTGGCACGAGAAGGGGCTTTGTGCGAAAAGGAGCAAACGAACCGCTTTTGTCTTTAGGTGTGAGGGGACGGCGATCCTCTGGCTTCCGGCTTGAGCTTTATCTTTATTCCGGCCCGCGCTCCCCGCAGGGCTTCGGCAGACTTCGCCTCGCGCGGCTGGCCTCCCTCCCGCGCCCGCCCCGGCTCCCACCTGCCCCTGGTCTCGCTTGACCACTTCCCGACGTGCCTCTGCACTGTATCCCCGGCCCAGCCCATACTGACCTGGCGCTCCTCTGGCCCCTACCACCAGGGTCCCGACTACCGCACGTGGGAGGCTCCTCGCCAAACCCCCCTCAGGGACCTGCCATTTCCAGGCACCGGGTCTAGGTTCTCCACACAACCAAGCCTAGGCATTTTCTTTTCTTTTTTGAGAAAGGACCTCACTACACAGCCCAAGCTGGCCTTGAACTCGGCGCGAGCCTCCTGCTTCAACTTTCTAGATGCTAGGATGTCAGGATTGCCTAGACGGATTGGGCACCGTCTTTAGTCGCATTTTGTAGGGGTTTATGCCACTGACTGCCCAAGGGCCCGAGGCGGGGCTTTGCTTTCCCCACCCAGACCAGTCCCTCCCCTCCCTCAGAGGGATCAAGGGCACAAGGGCCTCGCGTAGCCTCCCTTGCCTTTATTGGGTGCTCAGATGGGGGGATGAACCCCCACCAGGTGAGGTGTCACCGAGGAGGGGGGACCCTCTGTCCCAAGGCGGCAGTGATGGTGCCAGGGCCGGCAATGCTCTCCGATCCTACTGGCTGAGCCAGCGGGAGGGCGAACAGCGTGTCGGCCTGCACTGCCAGAAGGGGTGGCAGCGTTCTCAGTTCTGGTCTCACTTGGGGGCATTGAAGGGCACGGCCCGCTGGTTCATGGGGTTCTCCGGGGAGCGCAGCCATTCCTTCTTCAACAGCTGCTTCAGCTGCGACAGCCGCATGTTGGGGTTCTCCTGCTTGAGCCGAGGGAGCTGGGCCTCCTCGAAGGCTGTGAAGGCCGCCCGCATGCGTCGCTCGGGGTGCCGGTCGGCCTCCTCCGCCACGCTGCAGCAGACAGGGGGCGCATCAGCTAGACCTGGGCTCAGCCGGGAGAGCCCGGCCCGACCAAGGTCCCAGTTCCCCCCAGTCCTAGCCCCGCTCCCCGCCCCAGCTACCTGAGTACAGCGATGGCGTCCTCGATAGTGCGCGCCTCCACGCTACCCTCCTCCTGCACCCGGCGGTTCACGTTCTCCTCCAGCGGCACCTCCAGGTGGCTCTTGGCTTTCTCTGTAGGGGGCAGGCAAGGGCGGGGTAAGGATGACAAGGACGGCGGTCAGCAGAGACTAGACTTCCGGGGAGACAGGGCGCCGCTCCGCCCCGCCGCCCACCTGGCTCAGGGGCCTCGCGGTGCTGGTGCTCCCGGCGCAGCGAGTCCTCGATCTGGGCGCGCGTGACCTTGCTGGGTGCCGCGGCCCGGGGCGCCTTCCCGCCCTTGAGCTTCGAGTCCTCCTCCTCCAGCAGGCGCTGCGTCTCCTTCTTGCGCTCAAGCTGCTCCAGGCGCCGCTTCTCCTTCTCTTCCTGTGGGCAGGGTCAGGGCGGGCTGAGCACAGAGCGGCCCAGGCCCTGACCCGGGAGCCGTGGCGGGGCAGACCGGACCACGGGGGCCAAGGGGAGAGCTGGCCAGGTGAGAGCCAGGCGCGCCTCGCTGCAGGGCGTGGTGTGTGCCGAAGTCCTGGGGCAGGAACCAGACCCCGGGGGCAGCTTGGCTGCTGGTGGGGCAGGCAGCATCAGGGTCAGCTTTGGATTCCAAGTGTTGGGAAAACGGGGTGTACTGTCCCAGTGTCCCCTGTCTTGCATTACTGAAGCTAGGTGGACCCCTCAAAACCTCTAGAGGCCCAGGTGAGGGGGCAGGAGGGGACACCTGCCCTGTGGGACATGGTCTCAACAATGCTGGGACTTGAACAGCAAAGCGCTCCCCTGCTCCTGGGGACCCCTGCCTGGGACTCTGCGGTCTGTCCCTGCACCTGTGGTCTGGTCTGGAGGGACTGCTGAGTCCCAACAGGGAAGGTGTTAAAGCCAAGCTGTGTGAAGGCAGCCTCCAGGCCCCTGCTCTGGAGGGCACAGGCACCTGGGGCAGGCCTCTCCTCGACTCCGAGCCTCACGTCCTGTCAGGGCAGCACGCCCTTGGGGCTCAGGGCCTCAGGACCATGCATCTAGCACAGCATCGCCCACCAGCCCCCTGTGCCCGTGGTCTTTGCTGTGTGCCCCCACTCTGCCCCTCCCCCACAGCGTTCTTTCGCCTCCAAGATCTTCCCAGGCCTCTCATGAGCCCCCATGTTCCAGGGGCAAGGGCCGGGCGGAGGCCAGGTGCTGCCTGCTTTCCAGGACCAGCTGGCAGCACAGTGAGCTCCCTGAATGTAGGAGAGGCTGCCGCCCCCAGGGTCCCATCCTCCCCTGGTGCTGGCGTGGTGTTCCCAAAGCTCCTGTACTGGAAACTCTTCCCCCAGGAGGCCTGCTGCGGCCTGGGGAGCTGCTTAGGGCCGCTTGGGGTGCAGAGGGTGAAGCCAGTGGCTGCACTGGTGGCTGCAATGGAGGGAGAGACCTGAACTGGTGTCCTGTCTTGCCACAGAGGTCCTGTCATCACGCAAAGTCCCCACCAGAGGGTGCTGCCTCCACCTGGGATCTGGCCCTCAGTGCAACCTACTGTTCTGGGACTCTGGGAAGGTCCCAGGGCGCCCAGCATGCCAGGCAAACCTCCACCGCGGAGCCCCCTCCCTGATGGGATCTTGCTAAGCTGCCTGGACTGCGTGTGACCTCCTGCCGCAGTCTCCCTCGCTGCTGGGATTAGAGGGGTGGACCACCACGCCGCACTAAACCTCTATCACTCATAGGCTACTTGCCTGTGTTATTTCGTTATAGAAGGCCAGCAAGCCTTGGGACTGAGAAGGCTACAGCGAGTAGGGCCGGCACCACACAGCTTCACGCCAGCCAGGGTCCAGTGTATGGTGGCGACACACGCCTGCCCCCGCAGCTCCTTCGAGGTGAGGGGCACACAGGAGTGTCTGTGGGGTGCAGCCCAGGACCTCCACATGCTAGGCAAGCCACCTGCCAGTGAGCCAGAGTCCAGCATAGAGACCCCAGCTCTTACACAAACAAACCGAAGGAGGCTTGCTGGTTAGCTCAGTTGTTTAAAGCACCTGCTGGGGCAGACTCAGTCAGGTGCAGGGACCGAGGTTCGATCCCCAGCTCCACATGCCGCACCAGGCCTGCCCTTAAGGCAGCCTGAGCCAGCAAAAACAAAACAAAACAAAACAAAACAAAACAAAACAACAACAACAAAACAGCAGCCAAGAAGAGCCCCCGGTGGTGGCACTGACTTGCCTTCCCAGCATTCAGGAGGCTGAGGAAGGACTACAGAGTTCAGGCCAGTTGAGGCTACAAAGTGAGACCCTGCCTCCAAAAAATAAAATTAACAAATTAAACAAAGACCTAAGTGTGACAGCACACCGCACCGTCATTCCAGCACTGGGGAGGCTGAGGCAAGAGAATCTCTGCAAGTTCAAGGCCAACCTGGACTAAATAGCAACATTTTAGCAGGCGCTGTGCCATTGAGCTATCTCCTGGCCCAACTTTCCCCCCAACTTTAAAAAAATAAAACAATGTAGGGGCCAGGGAGGTAGCTCAGTAGAATAAGCGCTTGCCTGGCAAGCGCAAGGCCCTGAGTTCAACCCCTGGTTCCATCAAAAACAAAACAAACAAATAAATTTTAAAAAAAGTGTCTCCGGACCCAGTGCAGCAGGGGGGCTGAGGGCTGGTGACAGGCCCTGGCAAGGCCGGTCGCGGGCGCCACCTGCTGGGCGCCGCGGTGAGCATGCGGCCTGCCAAGGAGGCGGGATCCTCTTCCACCTGGGGAACCCCTCCGGGCTGCAGGCGGGGCTCGCAGGGCGCAGCGCACGCTGAGGGCCTCCCTGCCTGGACGGCCCCAGCCCCAGCCCCAGCCCACCTTACGCTGCTCCTTCCTCATGACGTGTTTGTCCTCGTCCCTCCAGTACGCATCCTCCAGCTCCTTCTGCTTCTGGGCATCGGCCGCAGCCTTGGCCTCCGCCCTCCGTGCACGGGCGGCCGCCGACTTGGTGTTCTCACCCTGGAACTTCTTGGGCATCCCTCAGCAGCTGCGGGGGACGGTCAGCTCAGACTCCCGTGACACGGGACAAACCGTTTGGTCTTGGTTTTTGGAGGCAGGGTCTCCTATGGAGCCCAGGCTGACCACGATTGAGCTCAAAGAGATCCTCCTGCCTCAGCCTCCTGAGTGTTGACATGGGGGACTCTATCCCCTTGATGGGAAAAACACACAAGCCTGACCACCCCCCACCCTCCAGTCTGTGCTGCAAATGCTAGGTGCAGGGCAGGCAAGTTTGCACCCCAGGACCTCGGCACTCACTCTGCACCCCCACGCACTTTGACTTTTTCTAGTAAACTCCTGCTTAAACTTCAAGGCTCTGCTCAAGTGCACCACCTCCAGGAAGCCTTTGGTGAGATTCTGGAGAATCCTGACTCGGACAGCACAAACCTGGAGGCACTTGTGTACATTACTACATCCATCTGTTTATGATTATCTGACAAAGGCCCATCTCCTCGTCATGTTGGGCATGAGGAGGTGCTGTCCACCGGGCATCTCCCAATGTTAGGACTGTGCCAAAATATACTGCTGGGGCTGGCCAGATAGCTCAGTGGACTAAAGCACCTGCTTAGGCAGAGTGCGGGCAGGCTTTTTTTTTTTTTTTCCGAACCAGGAATTGAACTCAGGTCCTTGCGCTTGCCAGGGAAGCACTTACTCCACTGAGCCATCTCCCCGGCCCCAGTGGCAGGGGCTTGATCCCTGGCACGGCATGCTGTGCCATGCTGGCCCCCGGGGCGCTGAGACAGCGATTGAAACTGGGCATGGTGGTACATGCCTGTAATCCCTGCGCTTGGGAGGCTGAGGACAGGAGAATCACTACGAGTCTGATCTACGCAGTGAGACCCTGCCCTAAATACATTAAAAAAAAAAAAATCTATTGCCGATGTCCATCCCACCTCGTCTGTTTTTTATGAGCTACATCACCACACCTTTTTATTCTGAGGCAGGGTCTAAGTTCCCCAGGCTGGCCTCTAACTCGAGATCCTCCTGCATGAGCAGCTAGGAATCACAGGTGTGTGCCACTAAGCCAGTCTGGTGTTGTCATGGCAGCCTCAGCCAATGAATGCTGCTGCTTTGCTAAATGGTGACAGACACACCATTCAAAACACAAGACATGGGAACCAGGGATGTAGCTTAGTGACACAGTGCCTGCCTGGCAAGCTTAAAGCCCTGAGTTCAATTTCTGGTACCACTACCACCAAAAAAGAAATCAGACAGGGCGCCTAGTGGGTGTGGTACACTGCGTATGGAAGGAGGTCATTGGGACTGGCAGGAGTTACCAGGTGCCACTGGGGCTGGATGAAAGCACGTGGGGGCGCGCCCATTAGGGGGCTCCCCACAGGTGACACGAAGATGCCTAAACAGTGAGACACTGGGCGGGGTGGCATACACCTGCCATCCCAGCACTCAGGAGGCTGAGGTAGGACAACGATCACCGCTGAGTTCGAGGCCTCCGGGGCCACACAGTGAATTCAATACTAGCCCACACTACATACATTGCAAGATCCCCGACTTTCATGCACATCAGGATTCTGGGAGGCTGAGGCAGGAGGATTGCAAGTTTGAGCCCAGCTCATGAAACTTAGCGAGACCTTGTTTCGAAAAATGACTGCGATGCAGCTCAGTGCGAAGGCCCTGGGTTCAGGCCCCCGACCTGGGCGTGGGAAGATTCGAGCCTGCAGTGGCGCGCAGGAGGCAGGCTGGGAAAGGGGCTTCGATTCGGCTGGTGGGCACGAGGCCCGCGTCCGTGACTGACAGGCGGCGGGAAGGAGATGGGGGCAGGTCGGGGTTCCCTCGAAGGGGTCCAGGCGCACGCGGTCTCTCGGCCCCACAACGCAGGAGGCAGCGCAAGGTGGCCCCTGGTCTCCGCCCAGTGCGCGCCCCGGACCGGAAGCTGCTCGGGGGCAGCGCGGGCCCACCAGCCTCTCAGACGCCGCCGGCGCCGTCTTCCAAGATTTCAGTCCCCTAGGTCCGAAAAATGGACACGGCCCCCTCGGAACCTGCCGACAGTGGGCGCCAGAAGCGCCCGCGTCCCGCAGGGCCCCGCCGGGGCGCGCCGGGCGCGAGCCCAAGCTCGGCACCCCCACCGCCCGCCAGCCCCCCGCGCCCGGCTCCGCCCGCGCCGCGGCCGCTCCTACCTCCTTCCCGCGGCGCCGGCTCGGTCGCGCCCCTCTGACGTCACTGTGGAGGCTGCGCACTGGCGTTGGGCGGCGCGCGCCTACGTGTTGGCGCGGTGACACTTTGGTAAAGGAAAGGCGCGCGGCCTTGAGACCCAAACCAAAGTTCCCAGCTGTTTATTTTTATCTTTGAAAAGAGACCATTACACGAGTCTCTTGTCTCTGCGTATGCTTTGTAATTTGAGGAATCAGAAAGGCGGGGTAAGCAAAATCCGGGACGCTGCCTTTACCAAGATGGTCGCCACCCGGAAAAAAGATGGCGGCCGCGGGGTCACCCGTGGCCTGCGAGGCGGCCGGACTTGCCCGGCCTCTAGGGGGCGACTGCGGACCATGCTCGGAACGGGGTCCCGCGGTGGCAGGACGCCTTTGCTTTGAGACCTTGGCAGTCAGTTTGTGCTGCTGTAAGAGCACTTTCCAGGCCCAAATCCTGTGCGCCTCCCTGTGACCCCTCAGGTGACTGAAAGAAGAGGGTGTGGAAACGGACACTGGCCGCCCTGTGCAGGTGAGGAAGCTGAGGACTCTGCTGCAGTCTGAATCCTGTTTCCCTTTCAAAATTATGGAACCGCCAGGCGCGGTAGGGGCACCTGTTGTCTCAGCCCCGAGGAGGCTGAGGCCGGAGGATCGCCACAAGGTGGAGGCCAGCCTGGGCTATGTAGCCAGACCGTGTCTCAAAAAACCCCCAAAAGATATGGAAACGATAGAGACCAAACTGTGATCCCCAGCGAAGGAGACATTTTTCTCGGCCAAGAACTGACAGCTAACACCTGGCAGTCAGTCTCTGTGCATTGAGGCACTAGAGGTTACAGATACGGGATACAAGAAACGGAGAGTTAGCGGCTGACGCGAGGGAATGTGGACACCACCTCTTTCTGCTTTGATGGTTGCTTCCTATCATCGTCATGGTAACTGTCAGCTGTTGTGGCACTGGGGCTGCCACTAAGCTCCAGGTGGATTATGGTAAAGGTTGAAGGCGCCTTGCGGTCACTCCCAGCCGGTTTGGACTGGACAAGGGGAGCGGAGCTTCTGTGGACGGGCACCTTGTCCCCAAAGACAAACAAAGAAAGGGGAAGTGGACACCCAGTTGGGTCAAGGCAGAGCACAGTCACAGGAGCAGAACAGGCCTCGTCTTCCTTATTTTCACTCACATTCTTTTCTCTTTTTTTGAGACAGAGTCTCACTAGGCTATTCAGGCTGGCCTCGAACCCACGGCGATCCTCTTGGATCAGCCTCTTAAGTACTGAGATTACAGGTGTGCATCACTAGGCCCAGCTTTGCCCCTCAGTTGTGAGGGGTAAAGTAGGACAAAGGTCTAGCCTCTAAACATTCTCCAAGCTGCATTTGGGTCCCATCGCGGGAGTGAACATATTTTCTTGGGCTTGCTGGTGCATGCCTGTATTTCTAGCACTTGGGAGGATGAGGCAGAACGATATCAAGTTTGAGGCCAGCCTGGACTTCATAGCAAGATCCTATCTGAAAACAAAGTCTCTGGTGCTTCTCAGTAGGTTTGGTCATTTTCTCATTGTAGGCCCAGCTATTCATACCATTGAGAGATTTGCCTTCATACCTTTATTTTCATTTTTATATTTATTTATTGATTTTATCGTTTTGAGACAGGGACTTGCTGTCCATCTTAGACTGGCCCGGAACTCACTTTGTAGCCCAGGCTGCTCTCAAACTTGCAGCAGTCCTCCCGCCTCAGCCTCCCGCATGCTGGGCTCACAGGCCCGCGCCATCACGCCCAGCTTCTTCATAACGTCGTGGACTCTAGCTTTTTCCTTAGCTGATCGAGAGGAGCCTGCATGAGCAGCGAGCAGGAGGAGCAGGGAAGGCTGAGCAGGGAAGCCCCAGGCACTGCGGGTGCGGCCTGTGAAGTGCCTTCCCAGCACCTTGGCCACAGGTGGCTGGAGTTGGGTCATGGAGCCAGGTTGCCTTGCTGGAAACCCCAGGCTCCGTGTCCCACTGCTGTTTACGTGACAGCAACAGGATGTGTGGTGCCCCGCACCACGCCTGGGCACGGTGACCTCTGAAGGGGCAGCACTCTCATCTCAGCGTGAGACTCATCACACGGTAGAGGAAGCTGAGCCAGCGGCTCCCGCCTGCAGTCCCAGCACTCGGTGCTGAGGCAGGAGGAGCCTGTGACTGTGAGTCCAACCTGAACTACATAGTGGGTTCCAAGGCAGCCTGCACTACACAGGGAGACCCTGCCTTGAGAAAGCAAGAGTGAACAAGTAAATAGAGAAAATTTTTACAGAACCCAAGCCATAAGTCAGAGCATGGAAGAGAAGCTGGCAGGGCTGGGGCTAGAGCTCAGTGACTCGAGCGTCTGTCTGGCAAGCGCGAGGTCCTGAGTTCGATTTAAAAAGA